TGAATTGACAGCGGCACTGGAAAAACTATTGATAATTCAAGTCAAATGTTTAAGTGTTAAAATAATTAATAAATCCAAGATGTCTGAATGTTTGGGAATTCTATTGTAAATTCTTCAGAAAAACGTAGTTTAATAACAAATAATGAAGACGAACCCTATTTTAAATTTCTAGTTGCTAAAACGTGATATAAATCATAGTGCATCGGGTATGTTTAAACAACTTCAAGTAAATGTTCGGTGATACACGACATGTTGTTGTTGTTTTTACACGTACAGAGAAAAGACAAAACTGAGTAGTTCATCGTTTGGCCACATTGGTATCGCCGCGATACTATCGCTACGGTATCGCATTCGCCTCGGTATCGCGTATCGCGGTTCGCTCTGGTGTGTGCGGCTCCATAAGCCGCCATGGTATCGCACGGACCACTGGTATCGCAAGAGAATTTCCAAGAAAAAGTATCGCGCCCGCTCCAGTATCGCACGGAGTATCGCTCTGGTGTGTGCAGGGCTTAAAAAGGAAAAAGCTATTGTCGTTGGTCTTATGGTAAGATCTACAACTGGGCATGATAGGACTATAGGAACGGGGTTGGTTATATGGGGGGTTTTATGTTGTTGAAATTGGGGTTTCCCATTTTTTACCGCAAAATATACAATTTTGCAGTTTTTCCAAACTATTTTGCAAGGTTAAAAACAAATATTATATTACCGTAGTACGTCTAATGGCCGTGGAGAAAATATAAAAGAACTAATTTTAAAATGTCCACGTCAATGTTATAGGGAGTCAGTCAACTGTTGTAGTTAACTTGCTCATGCTGTACGTCACCGGTGATATTTTGATCAAATTTGGTAAATCTATATATATAATACGTGAAGCCGTATTTTGTTAACGCAACTCCTCCCTTATTTGTGGACCAATTTTAACGTTTAAGGTGTCAAAAGATTCGTCTCAATGTGTAGTTTTGCAATAAGGTTTTAGAACTTTAAAATGTCTACTCTTAAGGGCGCGAGACCCTCTCAAAGGTCGGGTTTTTCCCATAAGAAATACATAAACAAATTTAAAAACAAAAAACAGCTGTTTATAAAAAGAAACCTTTTAGCTTTTTGGGAGTAAATATTGATGTTTTAATATTCAGTAGGTTAAGACCAAATTAAACAGTTAATCAGTTTTGTTGGAAGAACGGAAAATGCTTCAAGTTCAAAGAAGAAATATTGAAAACGGGAGGAGACAATTATTAATAATACGATATCTTATGCGTATGAGGAGGGAAGAAAAAGAGAGGTCTGATCTAACACATTCCCATCTAGATATACATTCACTTGGTGAGATGAATAATATTTGCCAGTTCTGCTATGCAACTTACTTTGGAAGTGAAAAAATATATTAAGCAAATAGTGTTGTCACTGTGGTAAAGTATACTTGCCTAATGTCAGGTCAAATGAATGCATGCGAGAAATGTTTACTTCTGACACTGACAGATCTCAAAACATTTAGTACAAACAATAATAATGCCTTGACTATGATAAGTTCAAGTAGTAAGGTTATACAAAATCTTGGCGGACCTTAAGTTTTTATTGTAAACTTTTGTATTACTGTACTCGCTCTACTTTAATTTAGGAAAAAAAACAAATGGATTGTTTACTTCTCGGTTATGTTGCCAGTTCCTCGGACAAACGTATACAAAGTTTTTTGACTGAATTTTAGTGGCAATATTAGACATAAGTGAAGGAATTAGTGTTTATGTATTTAACGATCGATTAGTTACAGTCAAGTTTATTTTTATGATTCAGGAGAGGCAAATAATATACGCTGTTCAAAAAGAGAAAATTAAAATTCCTATCCAAATCTTATAGCTACAAGAGTTATCCAACCTATTTCATGGTGTTGCTGCTTTAGCCTATTCAACGCAGATTATGGCTTTCCAGTTGATAACCCAGAGTTTGTGGGTAAAAAATGGAGCACATTAAATGGTTGATATCGCTCCACTTTTCAGGATTCTCTACGAAGAAAATTCGTTTAATAGGAGGATGTCTCGAATCAAAGAAATAAAATGACCCAACTTAAATAAACACAGGTTATAATTAAGGCAACAGTTTTCTTCAATTCTTAATGCTGGAAAAGCTTTGTTGCAACATGTTAACTCGAATTGAAGCAGATCGTTTAGCATTCATTAGAAGTTATCAATTTAAACTGAGAGCAGAAATAATGTAGGTAGACCTTGACGACGCAAACAGAGATATTTAAAATTAGTTTCTAACAAGTGTTTAAACAACTCTGAGATGTAACTAGAATTACTTGAATTTAAGCATAACGTTTTCCTCGGCGTTATGTTTCATAATATGCGGCTCATTGAGCCGCACGGGTTCTCTAGTTTATTTATAATATAACAAGATAATAACGTGTAAATAAAAAAAAAACTCACTTAATGACATTCCTTGTAGCAGCAAAAATAAGTACCTTACCACACTTATTTAAATGGGGCGTAAATGACATATGTTAAACATATGTTAAACATATGTTAAACATATGTTAAACATATGTTAAACATATGTTTAAGGAAAAGGGTCAGCGGAAATCCGAAAAAAATATTGATAGTTATATATTTTAAATTAAGAATAAGGCAATACATGGGAAAGAGATGAAGATGTCCACCCGAAACAGTTAACGCTTTCCAATTAGGCCAATAAATGAAGGTGTTCGTTATGGTGGTTCATTGTGTAGGTAACATAACCGATATTTTAATTTGAACTCCTTAACCTACCAAATTTACAAATAAATACATATAAACCCGAAACCAGCCTAGAAGTACGACAAATCTCTGGCGCAGTGCTGTCACGGAACTAGGCTACTCGCATGTTCACCTAACTGACAAATTATGGCTGCATCAGTGGCAGTGTCAAGGTCATATGAAGGTCGTGTGACAGGACAGCTACGTGAACCGTTACCAGAACGTGAGTGTTGTGTTCCGTCACGTCAGTCAGATTCGTCACAGTCGCCTTAGTCTAGTGCTGATAGTGAATTAGGTAGGCTTCAAAGGGTTTGAAATTCTCTTAAAACTTAAACAGAAGATGATTACCAAACAAATAAACTAACTTTTAAGGGTCCTTTATTCACCCTGGCAGACCACAGCGATTCACCGTCGCGGTTTTGTAAGTGCATCACCGTACAAGGTTGCTTTTAGGTCTCAGAAGTAGCGGTTTAGCGCGGTGCTTTGTAAATAAGAAACCACTGGCGGCGAGCGGTTCATTCTCATTGGGTTGTGGGGTTGAATATAATGCAGCGGCTTGCCGCGTGACCAATGGTATGGTACAGATGTCGACCGCGGCGTCGAACTACTGCGGCGTGCCACGGTGAATAGAAGGACCATTTTGAGATTAGGGAAAGGACTAAAATGAGTTAGTTAATACTGTAGTTTCCCAGTATCGGCACAACTGGATGACTCTTTGAGACACCACCATGTATTCAGTCCACGACGTGACGTAGGCGTCATTATGGAAAGAATCTCACTATCGTAGCATCCATCACAGCCACAGCCTCAGCGCTGCAGGTCGTGCTACACACACACTCGGGGGTTATCAATTATTTAATTCACTGAGAGATCGTGCGACACGAAGTTGTAACAGCTGATCTGCGCAGGGTGAGAATGCAACTTCGGGAGAAACAGCTGATCACGGCCCTTCACCGCTATCATGTACAGAGTGTGAAAACTTCTCGTCTGATAACGGAACTTCACGGCTTACAGACGGTGAGAATGCAACTTTACGGTGTAATTATTAAGAATAAAAAAATAAGTCACTATTATATACTAGTGTCTTCCTGTATGATCCACTACTTATACGATTGGGCCTAATCCTGATAAAACTTGATTTCATAGTGTTAGGGAAATGCTATAAACAACAACAACAACAACAACAACGATAGCGAGTTTTTAGGATAGCAAATGAGACTACGAGCGTCCTACATTATACGGTACTGTAAATTACCGTTGCATATAGAACTACAGTATAGTATTACAATTTTAAGTTATTGACTATACCCATCAGAGGAACAAGAGAGATTCATTTTATGTAAAAAGTTATGAATTAATTATAATTTTGATAAACGAAAACGTTGTTTGATATTAACCTTAGTTTTATTTTTCGTGCAATTCATCCCAAGATGATCACTAAATTCTAACAAACACACAAACAAATCAATCCAAACTACATTTATTTCAAATATACACTGCTCTAAATTGAACCTTTAATGTGCAGTAGTCCAAAGGAAACTGTTCTATTTTAACAAGGCGTTCAGGTATGCAATTTGAGTACATGTTCATATTGCGTGCATTATTTTGAAGGGACGCTCTTTCAAATTCGCCTCGCGTGTATTTTTTGTATTCTAACTATTTTTGTATTTTATTTTCTGTAATGCTTCTTGTTAAATAGATAATTGATTCAAACTATTTGATGATCAATAATAATTAATTAAATTTATACATACAGTATTTAAATCCTACAAGTTTCCTTCTTAAATAATGTTGAAATATTATCTACTCTGGAACAAATTAACTTGAATCGATTCTTCTTTGAAATGTAATGCTTTAGTTAGAATAACATTATAAGATTAAGTTAATACAGTGATATATTAACTTGTTAATAGTTAATAATTAATTAATAAAGTTACTAAAATTATTAAGATACTAACAAAATATCAATTACACCCAAATACTCATTTTACATTTTTGACTTTAACAGAAACATTAACAAAGGGGTTATTATATTATGTGCTTAATAAAACTTTTCCTGTATTCTATCATGCTGTATTCGTGTTAATTTCGAGCTTCAGTAGTTTATAATATTATCGTTAGTGAGATCAATGCGATGCAACATTTATTACTGATACTGAAATGTGTAGTAATGTTAGCGTTACTCGAAATGGTGTTACTAAGATGTGCAGTTAGTTCTATATACTGTAATAAGACGGCTACATGGTCAAAAGCGAGGCAAGCCTTTTTTCTTACCCCGGAAGTCATGTGTGGCCTCATTCAAAAAACAATCTCAACCTAAGCTGAGCACATCTGAAACAAAATGCACTCTTCAATTTTTAGATAGTTTTTCTGCAATGGAAATTCTATAACACATTTTCAGAGCTCTAAAACTGCCACTAAACAATTTTGATATGGAATTTCATGGCATCGTAACAGGGTTACTCACAATCATACCTTCAAACGTTACCTTCTACAAAAAGTTTGTAAACTATGTTTTTCAATACTGCAATTTAATTTATTCACAACTAAACTCCATACACCTTGATTTTAAAATAAGCACAAGGAAAATGTCCAACAATCTCGCAAGTCAACATTCAAAGTCGCATCAAACCAATTATTTACTCATTTAGAATACGTTTCCCGCCAATCATCAGCGACCCATTAGATGTTTAAGCTGAGTAGAGTCAGATCTTCTGTGTTATTATGTCGTACAATCGGTGTGATTACTTGCTACTGCCATCTAATTATCATAAAAACCACAGTTTCATCCGACAGTTGTGCTACTCGGATGTGTTATAGTTCCAATCAGCTGATGTTATCAGGACCTCAACAGTAGACATTGGCGAGATGTCTACAGCTGCGTCGTTGTCTACTCTAATGTCCACCCAGACTCTGGATCTGGTAGTTGGTCTTATGATGCGGAGTCGTAAACGACTTGGATACGACTATGGTAATGGGTCGGGCCTGTGAAATGGTGCTTAGTATGTTGAACTACTAACGACCATTAACGTTTTGAAAAACAATCAAATCCTGATTTTTTAAATTCAAGTCATGTAAGTAAATACTCAATGTAAATCACAATTTGTAATATGGCTTAAGTAATTACAACATGGTACTAATAGAGATATTTGGTAGAGCTGTGTAGCTAGATACTCGAAGAGTTGCAAAGTGTTTCACCTCGTCTACAGTTCATCGGTGGTATCAGCCTAAATAAAGCTAGATGGAGTGGTGCGTGCCACTGAGGTTGTAAATAAAGGCCAGACAGCCGTCTAGGGGGGTGCTGGGGGCGCATCGCGGCTCTTATCATGGTTTGTGGGCCACGAGGTCGATGGACTAAGGGGCTGTAATGATGGACTACATCGGGACTTATCTATGCCACCTGTAAACCGAAATCGATAAGTTCACTTCGTCCTACATATAAGTTTTGCTCCAACTTCCTCACATTCATTCGCAATGTAGATAGATGCATATGAAACTTTTCCCTGTTTGACCAAGACGTTATAATATAGAGTAGGTATTATTTTTATGGTGACTAAATTATTCATGATCAATAGACATATAAACTGTGATGTACCTTACACACTAAACTTTAAATATATATGAAAAATTTCCCCCTGTTTATGATTTCTAAGCCATGACAAAATTCTCATGAATCGGTTGTAGGTGCATCACTGCATCAGAAACTGTAGAAAACACATAGATATTGTTAAGTGAGTGAAATGGAAACGTCAATTTTACGACATCAGTTAAACATATTGACATTAGTCCAACATACAACACATTGTGCTAAAGTAAGGTGGTTAGGTAGATGTACAATGTTTGGAAAAGGTAATAGCAAACATATCTGAATAGACAGACGAACAACACGGCAATACAAGACACGCAACACGCGTGCAAGTCCTCACGCATCTAAATATGTCAGTGGACGTCCTGGTCCTGACCATCGTGTGTAGCCAGAATAGCCCAGAAAGTATTTTCTACAATACACTTAGTACTTAGTTACTTAGTAGAAATTTTGCAATTTTCGATATTGAGGTTAGTTGTTGAATATTACCCAATCCCTCATTAGTTGTTAGACGTCAATTATAACACAAGATTACAAAAGAAATATTTTATGTAATATGCAAAGCTTTGTGTACGTAGGTGTCGGTGTTTTTAGTTGATCTGTTTAAAGAAATACTTTTGAGGTATTCAAATATTTTTTAGGCCTGTAGACGTAGAGATTACTCAATTTAAAGTAAGTACGATAGCTTTAAAGTAGATAGCTTACGATCTGTACATTTTGAAAAGTGAATTTGATTAGAAACTAGCTATCGTGGAGCACGCTACCAATAGCTTGTCCAACCATTTTATTCCACGAGTTGATTACTGCAATAAACCTGGCATATAGCCCGGTATCCCCACAAAGGTATAAACAGTTATAAATCATGTGAATCTGATTTTAAGGAGCACTTAACCGATATATTAGCCTCAGGAGTATAAAGACGTTTAACGAACTAAGTAGTTCTTGATTCTGTACCTACACGACTAGCATGAAAATTCAACTTTGCAAATCCAAGTTTTAACACATGCAATTTCGGCTTAACAATTACCAACCTTAACAAGTACACACATACGTTCACACCATGTGTTTTCTTTTATACGCGTTTGTTTAGCAGAAACCTACATACCATCCAGAGACATGTATCAAAGAAAGTACCTATTGATGTTAGCTTGTACAAAGATGATAATGATCTCCAATTAAAAGGTAATGAACAATAGGATTCTTGCCTTCTGACGAAAGAAGAACCTTTTAGGCGCCTTAAAATAAGAAAAAAAATAGCAAAACCTAGAAATAATTAGAACACAGATGAAACCATTGTTATTCAATAGTGAAAGGTATTGTGAATAACATATCAAAAGTCTCCAAAAATATCTTTGGTGGAACACCACCTTTTTTCCAAAATGGCGGCCAAATCCAGTTACTTTTTTGCTTTTTATTGAAATTCTGACTTTCCAGTCAATATTGGTGAAAAGTCGTAAATACATTTTATTTTCCTCCTGAAATTACCTTTAAAATAATACCAAATACATGTACCTACAACCAAAAATAACCCCCGTAGAAATAATAAAATAATTCAAATAATAATATTGTTTATAAATTAACGTAATAGTCCTAGTCAGAGAAATATAGGATATGACCTTAACAAAATTGCAAGAAAACGTTTTATGGTTTTATTTTGTAGTGTTGGGTTTGCAGAACAATATACTAAAAGTTGCCAAAAATCGGTGCACGAGAGAACCACTAAAATCACAATTTAAAATGGCGGATTTTCCCAACCTTGGAACAATTTTGAAAAAAGATACTACATGCATTTTGTATGAACATTTTTTGAGAAACTGGCTTGGGACCACCGCCGATATTTATTAGGTCATTAGTACTTCATTTTGATAGGGAACGCGGTTTTGGCCGCCATTTTGGATCCGCCATATTGGACATATATATATATATTTTTTAATCTAATGATAGTATTGTGACATATCATTTCAAACTACATTTTTACACTGGTTTCAATGCCGAAATCCGTTTTTAAATATATTTTTTTAGTTTAGAAGATATGTTCAAACGAAAACTCTCCCCCCATACATTTCTTATGGACGTTTCGTAGTTTGATAATTTGTTTCAGATTATTTTTATATCGAGTTCTTATTAACGGTTGCAGTTCGTTCTGGCCTTAAAATATTCAGTATTGTAAGGGCTTCCATTTGAGCTCTTGAGCATTAAAATCAGACGAGTTAAAGACCAGCTACAAACCTCAGAACAATATCAATTTTAACTTTTTAGAAATATATTTTTATTAAAAGAGTTATAACTCGGGTTGTTAATAAGTCGCCAAGTTCTTTCCGGTCTTAAATTATTCTGTAAATGCTTTTCTTTAATTTTATCAATCACTAAATAAAACCTGAAAAATTTAAAATGAGTCATGAATCTTCATGATTCTAAGTAATCCATAGCTAAAATAAAAGTAAATAATGTTACGAATTATTGAAGACTATAAAGAGTTTTGAGAGTGATTTAGAATTGGGGATATACGTCCAAAAAGACAAATTTAAAAATAAATACATTTTAATGTTAAATTAAGATCCATGACTCATTTTAAAATTGTCAGATTTAGTTTAATAATTAATAAAATCAAAGCCAAACATTTACTGAGTAATTTGAGACCAGAAAGAACTTGGTGACGTATTAACAACCCGAGTTATAAATATTTAATAAAAATTTATTTCTAAAAAGTTAAAATTGATATTGTTCTAAAGGTTCTTAGATGGTCTTTAACTCGTCTGATTTTAATGCTCAAGAGCTCAAATGGAAGCCCTTACAATACTGAATATTTTAAGGCCAGAACGAACTGCAACCGTTAATAAGAACTCGATATATAAGAAAAATAATCTGAAACAAATTATCAAACTACGAAACGTCCATAAGAAATGTATGGGGGAGAGTTTTCGTTTAAACATATCTTATAAACGAAAAAATATATTTAAAAACGGATTTCAGCATTGAAATCAGTATAAGAATGTGGTTTGAAATGATGTGTCACAACACTATCATTGCTTTAAAAAAATATATGTCCAATATGGCGGATCCAAGATGGCAGCCAAAAACGCGTCCCCCAACAAAATGAAGTACAGTACTAACGACCCAATAAATATTGGCGGTGGTCCCAAGTCAATATCTCAAAAAATGTGCAAAAAAGTATTCGGTATCTCTTTTTGCAAAATTTGTCCAATATTGGGAAAAGCCGCCATTTTATATAATTAATTTAGGGGTTACCCATTGACTGATTTTTTGCAACTTTTGATATGTCACTCTGCACACCACAAAAATAAAAATAAAACCATAAAACGTTTACTTGCAAATTTTTATACGATCCGTGTGTCTGTTTTATTAGTTTGCTTGGACTATTACATTAATTTATTGGAAAACTTTTATTTGGAATATTTGATTATTTCTGCGGGGTTTATTTTTGGTTGTACGTACATGTATTTGGTATCATTTTAAAGGTAATTTCAGGAGGAAAATAAAATGTATTTACGGCTTTTCACCAATATTGACTGGAAAGTCAGAATTTCAATAAAAAGCAAAAAACTACTGGATTTGGCCGCCATTTTGGAAAAGTAGTGGTGTTCCACCAAAGATATTTTTGGAGACTTTTGATATGTTATTCACAATACTTTTCACTATCAAACTACAATGGTTTCATTTGTGTTCTAATTATTTCTAGGTCAAACCATATATTCAGGGGCCTATTTCTTTCAGTCAAACAACA